TCTCCACTAACATATTCTTGCAGCTTCCATCAATGAAGACAGAAGTAATCATATGGATTTCCATGCTCAATACCAAGACCTATCCTGCACGAATTTACCTAACTCCCTTTTTAATCAATTTAGATTTGAGGCTTAATATTGAGTGATGATAAATTGCACAACTTCATTTTGTACTGCTGAAGGAGGAAAGGCATTGTCTAGTTTGTCTCAAGCCTGCTGACTCATTTCATGGGCTTGGCTCTGGTCCTTGTTGGGGGAACAGCTACTCCATAGTCACCTTCTCTATAACAGTTGTAGGTTTACAATAGTCCTTTGTCCTCTCAGAAGAAGTTTAGTCCCTCTATGTGCCTGTCATCCCCACAGGCAGCTTTCTGAGCATGGCTCCACCATCCTCAGCAGCTCTGGATATCTCCAGCTGCTGTGCCCTCCCTCTGTTCTCTTGACTGAGTGCTTTCCAGGCTTGAGAAGGGGAGATAATAGATTTTTAGTAGCTTCTCTTCCTTGTTTTTGAGGCTTAAGTAGAAACATTAATGTCTAATTTAAAGGGCACGTTGGACAAGCTTATTCTTTGGAGCAATAAGTTTTTTCCTCCTGCATTTTCATGAAAGAATCTGGCAAGAGCTGAAATCCTTTACCTTGTTACTGTAAGAGCAAAATACTCTCAGGCCTGGAGCTGAGCCTCTCTTTTTTTTTTCTTGTTTTGTTTTCTTTTCTTTTTAGGAAAGCATTTATGCAATGATTAAAATTGCAGCAGTTTCTTCCTGGTTGAAGTAGTACAGAGAGTGATGGGGAGTGATGGGATGGGCAGGTTTGGGGATCTCTCTCCACTGCATTCATGCTGGGAATGAAAGATGCTGCAGCAGTGGGCAAGGACAAGCCTTGCCTGCCCTGAGAGCACCTCAAAGGTCCCTTTGCTGAGACTGGCCCAGTGACACCAGCACCAGTGCCATCAGAGTGGACTTTGGGAGATGTTCTGAGCCTGCCCCAGGGCTGCTGGCTGAGCCTGCCTGTGTGCACAAGGGGAGCCTGTTTCCCTGCATTTTATGGCCTGGCCTGACCAGCAGGACATGGGAAATAGTGTGCTCTGGGAGAGTCTGGATAGAAAGAGCCTTGTTGGTGCAGCCCATCGGTGCTGCTCTCTGCCTGGCTGGGCAGCAGCAGCTGTTTGACTTGGACAGGAGCTCTGAGAGTGAGGTTTGTCCAGCCCTGTGAGCTACACACCCACTGCTCCTTCCTCAGCAGAGAGCCAGCCACGGTGCTGCCCAGAGGAAGACCAACATGCCTCCAGCTACAGCAGTGCCTTTACCTTGTGTCAACTGTTCCTTCTGGCCCTGGCTGCTGCTCAAATCCCTATCCCAGCCTTGTTGGATTTAGTAGTATTACAACATGAGGGAATGTAAGCCTGGAAGGGTCTGCTTGTGCTGCTGGAGATACTGGCTAACTAGCTACCAGCTGATGAATTGCTGCTAAAGATGAGCTAATTAAAGGCAGCATTTAGTTCACTGATGCTTTATTAGGCTTCAGATTGAAGCAGAACCTCCTTAGCTGATGAAATTTCCTTTCCTTCCCTCACCCCCATCTTCTCCACACTCTCTTTTAGTAGGTTTCTGTAGTGTTTCTGAGCTTTGGTCCTCTATGACAGCCAGTATTTTTTGCTCCTGTTTTAACTAATGGAAATATGATTGTGCATGAATCTGGTGGTAATAATAGATGCAATCAACCATCTTCATATCCTAGTTTTTCTGCCTGTTTCTCCACTGCTCACTGTCACTTTCAGGTCAGCTCTGGCCTGCAGAAAATACCTCAAACAATGGAAATGTTGGGTAGTAGGTGAGGCAGGAACCAGTGCCTGGAGTCAGATTTTAAAGGTAGTATCTAGTGTCAGCTTGGCACCAGCAGAGCCCTGGGCTCATCAGTGCCAGCTGCTGCTAATCACAGTCCTTGCTTTGCCATCCAACCCCTGTAATGCCTACTGCACTGAGGAAGGGCTCAAGCTGCTCTGAGCCCCCGTTTTTTGCATGTGTTGGCCGTTGTGTTGGATGCATCCCACCCTGGGGAGAGGCGGAAAGTCCTCAGGGAGGAGGATGAGACCGAGGCACATGGCTTGCTTTGGGGAATGGCACATCTTGAACCCCTGTAGCAAAGTTACAGCAGAAGGAAGGAAGTGCTTTGTCCATCCTATGGCTAATCAAACCACTCATCCTCCAGCTCATGTGTGCCCGAAGCCTTCCAGAGTCATCTCCCCGGAGCGAGCAGAGCGGACGCTGTCCCAGCCTGCTGGGAGCATCCCTGCCACCCTCCCTGCTCCCAGCCGGAGCCTGGCTGGAGCCAGCAGAGCCAGGCTCAGATTGCAGCAGGCTCCTCCTCCGGAGCCTACCGAGAGCGAAGGAGAGGCGGGGAGCTGGAGTCAGCAACTTGAGGCTGCCTACCTGCACCCTGCCAGCGGCTGGGGACCCGCAGCATCTTCCCAACCCGCATCTTCCCAACCCGCATCCCATGGGGACCATCTCCCCACCGCCACCCCCCGTCAGCCCGGCATGGAGAGCCTGAGCAGCAGCCTGAAGAAGAAAGCCACCGAGCAGCACTACAGGGCAGAGGTGATGATTGCTGGAGAGCAGCTGAGGTAGGAGGTGTTGGGGTCCTCCTCCAGGCTGGGGCAGGGGGTACCCTGGGGGCTGAGCTGTACCCGCCTAGAAGGAGGCTCAAAACTTTATCCTTGAGCAAGTTCTTTCTCCCCCAGCTGCTAGTGGATCCCCCTCCCCAGTACCTGCTGATCCTTCTTCATCCATCAAACTGGTGGTGAACCAGGTCCTCTCCTGTGTTATCTTGTCCTGCTGCTCTTCTCTGGCACCTCCTGCCCTTCACCTCCAGCTGCCAGGCAGGTGGCAGGGGGGTTTAGATGGCAATAGGTTTTGTTCTCTTTCTTCCCCCAAGCACAGAGCATGATGTGGTGGCACTGAGCAGCCCCCCCAAGGTCCTTGGTCCCTGGTGGGATGGGGACAGCATCACTTCTGGGGATATGGGAGGACACCCCATGGATGCCACGTGCCTGAATTGGATCTCCCCTCTCTTTAAAGTGTCTTTTGGCAACTTCTCCTGGTTTGTAGTGCCAGTTCTTGAGCAGCTCCTGAGGATTTTTTCCTATGAAGACAGAAATCTATACTCCTCTGCAAGAAAACCTGTGTGGCTGAGAAAATGTGCTCCTTGTGTATCTGTGGACAGAACTCTCCCCTTGCTTCTAAGCATACAACTATGGGCTTTCGTAGCTCTTGAGCAGAGTTTGCTTGTTTGTGTCTGGAGTCATTCTGGTTTGTTTTGAAATGTGGGTGGAAAATAGGAAATATATCCTTGAATCATGTAAATAGTTCAGAGCCCAAGGATGCTAGCACTACATTCCTAAAACTAGCTCAGTGTCACTATGTTGTCCATTCTCAGCGAGTACTGTTAGCTTTAACTTTATTATTTGTCTTACACTAAGAATTGATAAATTCCAGCTAAGGATTGGGGCCCCATCTTGAAAACACAGCCCATGTCCAAAGTGGCAGAGCAGGTTTATTCATATTTATATTTCCAGTATTTTACTTATCTGGAGTGACTGAAGTTTAAAATGAGTTCTGTAGCCTGGGCCCAAGGAGGGGGTCAGGTATTCAGAGAGAAAATAAAATACTCAAGCCATGTGTTAAAACTGTGTTCTTTGTATGGGGAATGATGTGGCCTCCTTATGCCTTTTGCAGGACAGGAGCATATCAGATCCTGCACCATTTGGTGACTGTGACTGTAAGGAGGAGAAGAGGATACAGCAAATTTGTTCATGAACAGAACTGTTCTAGTCCACTGCACACTGGGATAAGGCTGAATAGAAAACCCAAAGTTTTGGGCATACCCATATTTATTTTTTTCCCTATAGCTGAAGTGCCTTGGAGTTTCCAGGTTTTAGGGAGCTCCCAAAATCTGAGAGTTCACAGTGATAGGAGTGTCCTTTTCCTGGTGGTTGGGCATGCAGCAGTTGCATCCTTCTGCTTTGTTCTGGGCAGGAACAGCTCATTCCCAGTGCATGAGGAAGGGAAGGAGCTGCTGGCCAGCACAGGGTGTAAAACCCAGGGAGGAGGTTGATGAGATGGATACCAGCCTGCAGCTAGGCTCCTCCCTCCCCTAAACCTGTGACTGGAAGGAGAATTGAGTGGTGCAGAATACACTGAGTGCTCAGTGCTGTCTTTTGTGTTTTGGGAATCTTACAGCCTGGTAGGTAAGGAGATAGTGGTATGAATTTTCCTGGGACCTGGATGTCCAGTGGGTAGCAATGAGGAAACTGAGGCAGAGAGGCTGGATGATGTCTCAGACAGCAGATGGGACAGGACTAAATGTCCACATTGTGCTCCACTGCTTTTCCCCAGATGTGGAATACAGAAGCACATGAAGGAGCCTCGTGGGTTGCCCTGACTCTGTAAACCTCCATCAGCAAATAAGACTGTTGTATCTACATAAAATCTCAAACATTTGTTTTTCCCTGTGCTCTGCTTCCTGCCCTGCCTCCCCACTATTGCATTTAATCAAACAAACCTTTGCTCCATCCTTACAGTTCTTTGGCTTCCCAGCAAGTTTGCAAATCCCTCAGAGTTTGCTTTGGCCAGAGGGATGAGTCTGTTCAGTGTCAGGATGCATTTCCCAGCCAGAAATAGCTGCACAAATGAGGGGTGAGGGAATGTTTCGTGAGGATGGCTGGGAATGAAATGGATCCTAAAGGAATTGAGGGGAGATTGGCCAGTGTGGTTTGGGCTGTCTTGTCTCTCAGGGTCCCTCTGCTTCCATGGGGATGCTGCTGTCTGGTCCATGGAGGGGGAAGAGGAGTTTTGGGTTGTGAGTCTCTTCCCCACCAAAAAGATGAAGATAATAATTTTCACTGATATTTTGTTCTTGGGTTTCTGGGCTGCAGTCTTGGGCTTGTTCCTCACATCTACTGTCAGTCCTTTTGTTTCAGCCATATAAACTTGCATTAAAATCACACCACTTTTACTGGGCGTTGTGTGTTCCTGGGTGGCATTCTGTAAGAGAGGCCCAATTAGTCACCTCTAATTGCAACAAATGGCTTATCTGCACAGAGATATTCTGGAACAGCTTCTGTGCTTTGCATTCACACCCTGCTGTAATCAACAGTTTCTCAAGTATAGACAAGCCCTTGTGCACTCTTGTCTGGGTATTGTCATGGTCAAGTGAACCAGCTGTGCTCTTGTGCTGCCTGTAAGCTGCATTAATCACTCCTATATAAAAAATATAGTCAGTAAATTTATGTCTTGGACATAAAAAAATGGGAGGAGAAGGAAGGGTTTCTCCTATGAAGAACAGAAATGTGATTTCCGCCACTCTCCAAAGTTTTCAGAGGTGCAGAGTGTTTTATTTGGATACTCAAACTGCAATGCTGTTGAATGAGGTGTTCATACTTTGTTGCTCTGCAAATTGGCCTCACTTAAAGATGTGTAGCTGAACATGACAAAATTTGTATTCCTGGCCAAAGATTTCAGGTTTGGTGGTTCTCTGTTGGACTTGGATCTCTTGAAGTGAGGATGTCTTCCTCGAGGAATCAGGGGGCACTACTTGATGTGACAGTGAACTTTATTCAGATGATGAGACTACATGGTCAACACGACCTTAACGAGCTAATAATTAAATTTTTAGCACTGGTGAAAGTGAGTGCTGGCAAGTAGACTTGTGCTTGCTGGGATTTCTTTTGGAGATTTAAGTCTCATTTTCCTATATATACACTTTAATACAAACAGGAAAATCAAACATCTCTATACCACCTTGTGCTGCCACAGGTGTGCAAAGCTCTCCCCTGTCTCCAGTTGTACTGGTGCTTTTTCAGACTGGGGGTGCAGCAAACTGGGGTGTGCTGAGCCTGTTTGCTGTGGCTGTTTTGCCTGCATGTGCCTCTCCAGCAGCAGCAGTTTTGCAGAGATGATCTTGTGGCAATTGCTGCCTTTTAGTCAGCACATAGTTGTTGATTTGGGCTTTTTGGGTTTGTTTCGTTTTCTGTGAAGATAGGAAGAGAAAAGATCCTTTGGCTGACACATCTTTCCAAGGCCATTCATTTGTTCTAAACTGCTGTGAGAATGTGAACTAAAGTCAATATCCTTGAAAGATCCACCTTGGCATTTGAGATGCTCAAGGTCTATTTACACAGAAGGTGATGCAGAGTATGTTCCTCTTTTATTTGCACTTTTGTGGATGTCCCTTTCAACAAGGTTACACAGGATGAATAATGATGGCTTTGTAGTGACCTTCACAAAGAAACAATTTGCTTACCCAACACAACCTACCCAGAGCAAATGCACGTGGAAGCAGCTCTGTGTCTGCCAAGTGTTTCATAAGAGTCCATTCTCATGTTCCAGCAAGTGTTTTATCCTGGCCTGATTCTGCTCCCCCCACCCTCCCCTTTTTGAAGAAGTAACATGTCCACAGGGTAGATTTTGCTATCTAGAAAACTCATAATATTGTATTTTATATACTTCCTGAATGTTATTTTTTCTCCTCTGGAAGCATGAGGATAAACCACTCCTGGCTTCACCAGCTTTGTTTGTACAACATCGTACAAGAGCTGTTTGAAGACACAGTTGCTGTTATGTCCTGTGTCTGAAGGACAAAATTTGTCTCCTCATAGTTGACAGGAAACAGTAAACAAGAGGAAAGTGAAAAGACCACAAGGACACTCGAGCTTGTGCCTCTTCCGCTGCCCTGGATCTGCAGGACAGAGGGAAAACTTGTCACAGGCTTAAAATAGCCCACCAAGGTCCAAGATGCTGCTGCTCCAGAGGTGGTGAAACACCACTTAATTCCTGTCCTGGCATTTGTTCACAACAGGAGAGTTTCAGAATAAATGTCTTTTTAATCTTTATTTTTAAACGTTAGGTTTTAGCAGCATTGTTTGCTGAAAATCTTCTTTCTTTGATTTGGTTATTTAGGGGTTTTTTTCCCCCCATAAGATCTATAGGGTTTTTTTCAGTATTCTGAAACACAATAAAAAAAGGATCTATAGGGGAAATAGTGTTCCCCCAACCTGCTTCTATTGAGGCCTTGTGTGATTATGGTCTATGTGTTATTGCCTGTGAGTGTGTGTGTATAGCTCTCTGTATATTCTTTATATAGACTCCTGCAGAGCTGATGGTAGTAGAACACTCTCAGAACATTTCTTATCTCTACCAAACATGCCTCTAAAGTGCCATCCCACTTGCTGATTACGAAGGAAATAAAGCATATAAAAACTGACTGTGTGTCTTCTCCCACAGCAAAGGGATGTTAGGGTGGGGAGACTCTCTGCAGTTGCTGCTCACTGTGTCTGATTGCATTTTGGACTGCAATGGACCATGAAATAAAGCAAGGAAAAAGGGGGAAAAACTCTAAAAATAGCAAGGCAGCTGTCTGTGGTCTGTTCTTTCCTGGTGAAATCCATGTGCAGAATGAGTGCTGGTCACTTGTGGGAATGAGCCTTCCAGGTAAAGAGTGAAATACTGAATATAGACCTCAGGATTTGAGGGAAGTCTGTTAAAGACAAGCCCAGGACATGGCTCTGCATGAATCTTTGGTTTAGTATTTTAATTGCCAGGACGGTCTGAAAATTTCTGTTAATAATATTGGCTCTTAGTAGCCTCAGCATTAATTACAACAATCAATTGCTAATTTTTTTCACCTAACAAAAGGTTTTATCTTTAGACTTTTAGGATCCTAATATTTAAACCCTACAATATAGGATAAGCCATTATTATGTGACAGATTTTTAGGATATTTAAACTTCTCATATGGTAACTAAAACTGTTGTCCAACATGCATAACTTTTCCAAAAAGAACAGAAGAACTTGAGGCATGAAATAACAAAAAGCTGCAGTGATTAATACCTTAGTAAAATACACTGGCCCAGGGCAAACTTGAGAATTGAGATGAATAATTTGAAATTAAAAACATCCTGGAGTCACAGAGGAGATGTTTAATTATTATCTCCCCTCTGAGCCTGCTGCACACACTGAGCTTTTTCCAGGGTTGGTGTTTTGGGAACGGTCATGATTACAGGGCAAAAGTTTGGACCCTGGACAGATCTCCTGCCAAACTGGGTTGGCTTTGGCTGGAACACAGAAGAACTCTGTGCCTTGTGGCTTGCTCAGTTGTTAAGGTCCTTTTGAAAGTCAAAGCCATGCTCACCTGAGTAACCCACACCCATATATATCTTTACATCTGAGTTGCAGACTAGGCATAAAATCAGGGTTATGGGGATAGGAAGGTTGTTGTTTCGGTGAACTCTGTCCCAGTCAATCCCAGTTTGAACCAGAAAATGTCAGGACTGTTGTCCAGTGTTGCTGTGGATTAGGGGGTACACGGATCAATAGGTAGTGATGGGATCCACCTGGCACTCATTGCTTAGGCACACCAGGATAAATTAGGGCTCCTGTTATTGCTCACACCTGGAGTTATGACTAAGATTTTGTCCTGGGGGCAGTTTTTCTGCTTTCATGACCATGGGGAAGGAGAACTACACACAGAATCACACCAAGATGCCAAGTATATATACTGTTTATTTTTTTTTCTGAGTTTTGGCCCCTCTTCACCCTCTTTGGCTATCTGCTGTGTGGTTTTTAGAGGCTTGTTTAGAACAAAAAGACACATAAGGGTCAGACTATGGAGCAGGCACTTCTATAACCTGCATAGTGACAGGAGGAGAGAAGGGAATGATGGAGAGACAACTTGGGATTGACCGACGCATTCTTCAATTCCAAGGGGTTTGCTTGAGTTTATCGCTCATCAGTAGTCTCTCCAAGCCAGGCAGATGCTGAGCCACCAGACCCCAGTTCCCCTGTAAGAGCAGCTGTGCTCAACTGACTGCCTTTCTCCCCAGGCTTCGCCTCCACGATGGGAAGCTCATTAAGGACAGACGTTACCACCTCCGAACGTACCCGAACTGCTTCGTGGCGAAGGAGCTCACGGACTGGCTGATCGACCACAAGGAAGCACCAGACAGAGAGACAGGCATCCGCCTCATGCAGAAACTGATGGACAACTACATCATCCATCACGGTGTGTGGGTGTCTCTGCTGCCTGCTGAGTCTCCCTAGGGAGGTGTCTGTGTGTCTGCTCACCGTGTGTGTCCACCAGCCCAGGATAAAGAAGCATGGTCAGCTCCCTGTTCACCACCCTCCTATGGGTGAGGGCTCCTGGAGAAGCTGGGAGAGGATGGGCAGGCACAAGGCTGTGTGGGGCTGGAGCTGTGTGAACCTGCATTGCACTGGGGGATGTGCCAGTTCCCCCAAGAAAATGGGTTTGGGCTGTGTGCTGGTAAAACAACATCTGAAGTGTCTCTTACTTGAAAGCAAGTTCAGTAACACCTTACCAGTATCACCCTGTATCCAGCCAAGTGGATATTTGTACAAAATCTGCTCTGGCTCATGTTTGTGTCATGAACTGGAAGCTGAATTATAGCATAGGATTCACATCTACAGGAAAATGAATTTTCTTACCATAAGACCTCAGTATTCCTCAGTTTCCCCATGGTGGCACAAATAGGGCTGTGGAGTCCATATCACTCCAAGCAAAAAGTAGTCTGGTCCCTGTGAACCTGGAGCTGGAGCAATCCTGTAGGAATGTCTCTCTTGGGATTTAAATGTGTGATGGCATTTCAAAGGCTTGTCTGTGGAACCTGAAAAAAAAAGAGGGAAGTTTAAAAAAAAAGGAATGGGGGGGAAAAACAACTTGATGCTCAAGCCCAGCTCTTAGGAGCATTCAGGCTTTTTTCTTCTTAAAATTTATTTGGAACTTTCAGGAGTTTTGGATTAACTCGGGCCATGTACTGAGCTCTGTGTCTGTTCCTGAGCTGCAGAGCAATCCCAAGGTCCAGCCCTTGGTTCTGTTACAGCACTGGGAAACAGGTGCCTCAGATTGGCAAAGAGCAACTTCTCTCTGTGTGATTTTCAGGCCTAGTCAGGAACTAAAGTCCCAGATTATCAAACAGCCCTGGGACACCTCTGCCATTGGTAGAAAGGGCTGTGGCTGAGCTCTCTTGCTTCCAAGTCTTTGGGTCAGGAGCTGTGGTAACCTGGAGTTGGGTGGTACTTTGCCAGCAGAGGAGACAGAAGCAGATAATGACCACACCAAATCCAGCCCTCTCTTCCCCCCTCTTCTCTAGAGTACAGAAATAGCTGCCTTTGACCACTGCAATGCAAACACTCTCTGTTGCCATCTGCTACATGCTGAGGTTAATGCCCTTTACATTAAGCTGCCTTGAATAAAAATAAACTACTGCTGTGCTTTATCACAGAAACATAGAGCTGATGCAGGCAGCTCTCAGTTAACCATTAACATTTAAAACTGATTACTTTTCCATCTCTCCAGCTGACAGTTTCAAATAAGTCCATTAGTTAATTAAACCTGTGCAGCACTGGGTACCAGCATTGTTCTGATTGCTTATGGGGACATGTCCCTCCTGCTTCTGTGATAATTCTTGGCACAACACAGAAGTCGACTTTCCAACTTGCCTTTTGCCCATTAATTCTTGTTAGTCCTGTGGAAAGAGAGCTGCCTGCAAATGCAGCACTGTGCTGGGTGCTTGGCAATTGCCTGACTAAACTGTTTGCCCTCTTCTCTGCTGGGATCCAGATGAAAATTATCCCATGAAGATCATTGTCTGCCTCTTAATTGTTTGGTGTGGTTTGAGCTGTTGTTCTGTTACATGCTGGAAACAATTAATTTGGTCTTTGAATACCAAAACTGCTTTTACTTCCTATGGGCACAGTCCTGGAAGCTTTTATGTTCTATTCCCCATCGCAATGGCATCAGAATCATTGCTCCTTGGAGTTAGGAAAACACAAACTTTCACTGTTAAAACAACCTTCTCCACCTGCCCTCGTGCTCGATGACTCATGAGCTTTAGCCTCCTGATTTCATCTGAGACAACTGCTCAGCAG